AAAAAAAAAAAAATCTCGTTGGGAAAGCCAACGATCGAGTTATGTTTGCACTTGTGGACCTAGGCTCCGCGAGAAAGCCGATTCGACCAATGATTGTATGGTGATTGGAGATTCTAGAGAGACGCTTAAAATTTAAGAGCCGATTACGTCGCCTTTAGAAAATTTGTTTATAACATCAACGAACTTGTGATTTCAATAATCGAACAGCTTCGTTTCTAGATGTTATGGTAACTTACGCAAGATATTCGATTTGAAATTTTACATCGCTGAGAATATAATATCAACGCCTAATTCTTTTTATGATATTTTTATAGAAACAAATTATACATTAATGAAATCTATTTTCATAAATAGTTCATAAATAGTACTAATTTTTAATGACAATACAAGAAATATAAAAATTCGATAGTCAAAAAAGTATTGGCACACAAGTAATTTCAGTGTTTAAACTACTTAATCTAACGACAGAATATTATTAGAGAGGCTACAAAATATTCACTAGGACGTTATCGAATATATCGTGTGAATGTCAGGAAAGAACGCTCGTCTTAAAAATATTTTTACATCTTGTTCTCACATAGCGGAGCTGCAAGAAAAGAATTTTACATAAATAACTAATTAATTTAATTGAATTAGATTTTGATATTTTACGAAGGGTTTTTGTTTCCAGCAATTACCGGTATGCCGATATTTCTTTCGATTCTTGAATTTTTATAGTTCTTGTATTATTATTGTATAACTATTGTTGGAAATTGCACTTTTGCACAGTAAATTATTTTAAGATTTCACTTCTTTAATTATGTTCAAAAAAATATGAAATTACGTAAACATCTGCTGTCTAGTTATATATACAGATTTAATATTCCACCTACGAAATGGTTTGAAATACATGCGAACTTTAGTGAAGCAATCAACGATGAATCAGGCATCAAATTGAAAATGTTAACGTTCCTTTTTAAGCTGATAAAATATTGGTTTCTCGTTTATTTTTTGAAACTGATTTATATTTTAAAGAAATAGCTCCTTGACCAAGTTAAATAAATCAATTATTAATTTTTTCAAAATTATACATAATTTTAAACATTGAAATTTGCTTAGTGATCGCTATTTCATTGAAAAAAAATAATTGACAGAAGGAAAATAATTTGCGTAAAATATTCCATTTTCTTACTACTTTGTCTATAAATATCTATCTAACTTGTCAACTTATAAATAATACCACAGTACATTTGATAAATAAAATTATATTTTTATCCTAAGTAGAATTTTTTGTAAAGTATCAGGGAAAGATACACATATTACTTTGATATTATGTGCTTCGAAGAAAATAAAATTTTTGACGAACTATTGATTTATTGCAGAATTAAAAATAATTTCTTATATTATATTCTATTAACATTGTTTGTTCTTTTTTAGCAAAATTCTGTATCTTATATTTTAATAAGTTCTTTATGAAAAACATCAAATATAATTATCATATAGAATAGTTTATATAAAAAAAAGCATATGTTACTAATAAATATTTTTTTCGAATAATAGAAAATTATTCGAATTAATTTATTCGAATAAAATTGTATTCTCATTAATTTATAATAATCAAGGATTAAAAATTGTATTATGACACTACATAGATTTAGATATTATCAATGTACGAATATTTACAACATAAAAAAAAAAAATGTTGAAATATTACAGAGCACTTTTATAATCTTTTATAATCTTCTGGACCTCTATTTATAATTTAATTTCTATGAACCTCTGAGAGTTTAACTATTAAGAATTATAATTCAGAATAAGAAGTTATTTAAAGATACAATGAATAACGAAAATATTTGAACGATGGCTATAATTTTATACGCATTTAATGAATTTTAAATTTATGTCAATAAATTTTAATACATTAAACAAATTTTTACATGATAAGCTATTTTTTATCACATCATTCAAATACTTTTGTATTATTCATTGTACTATAAGCTTAAAATATCATTAAATAATATTATTATAATATCATTATAATATAAAAATAATATCATTATAAGCATAAAATATCATTATAATGGACTGTAAAGCTAGATGTTATTCAAATATCTGATATTATTCTTATAATATTATAATAAGCACCGTACTTTGGATATTTTATACTTTTTTATATTATTTTGTTCAATTTTGATATTTCAGATTTCCTATAAAAATCTAATTATTATCTAACATTTAGTTTTCAATTATCTTGTTTATACGTAAAATACCTCAAGAAATCAATTTATATAAACAAAATGTCGTATATAATTCAATTTAAAATAATGAAGTACCTTTGACAATCTACACCCATTCCATAATAATAATAATTCCATTTCTAATTATTTTAAAAATATACATACAACTTCGCCCTCACAAAATGTGTCATAACTGACAACGAGAAAAAGTGAGTAATACTTTTCTAATAAATTCTAGAATTACATGCATCGCACATTTTACTCTCAAACAAAGAAAAAAAAAAAAAAAAAAAAAAAAAAAAAAACGAATTCTTCATAATTCGATATAACTCTAAAAAATGAGCTGTAAATGGCACAGAAGATACACCCTCTTGTTACAAGAGGTCTCGTAACTCAAACAAGGACAACGAGCGGCGAGAAAAATCGTTGTCAAGGGTTCGATTGCACGACTCTGCGAGCCTGAAACAGCCGAGCAGACCGCTTTCGAAAGATCGCAAAGGAAGAGCAGCGAGGAAATTTGAAATATCAGATGGCAAGGTAATGCATTTCCAACGGCCTTATAAGTACACTACGTGACACGGTTGTTGCAATAGAGGTTTTATATTTACAGAAAGGTTACATGCGGATGCACTTACGAGCCCTGCGCATCCTGAAGAATGTGTACTTGAATGAAAATCCCACGCAAATGTAGACAGATAAAACTAGAGAGGCAGAGTGGGAAGAACGATGAAACGGAGACAGAGATACCAACCTGGCGAATGTTGTATGTAACGGAGAAAAGAACGAAAAGAACAAAACGCGAGGAAAGAAGTGAGAAGATGAATTAA